TCTGGTTACCTTATTATTTGCAGTATCCCTGTATTTCCCTGTCAGCACTACAAGGAACACCTAGGGGACTGCAAATGCACACATATCCCTCCTTAGGTATAAAGCTTTCTCTGTAAAGCTCCATTAATATTTATGACAATGTATAAATAAATAATAATAATTAGAGCTGGCTGAAAAATCTTTAATGGACCCATTTTCCATCAAAGAATGCAGTTCTGCTGAAATTGAAATGCTTCCTGAAATCATATTGATTTTGCTGAATTTTTTTTGGAGAGGGGAAGTTCCAAAACACTTAGATTTTTCTTTTCAAAATGACTCTTTGTTTAGCAAGGTTTTATTTTGTATTATAGTATGTATTATGACAGAATGTTCAATTTTTAAAAGTCATAATTGAAATGAAAAGGAACTTTTTTTGGAACTTTCTTTCAGTCGATTTCAAAATGTTCATGTTTTGTTCCTAATTGGAATAAAAAGAAAAGTCCGCTCCTCAGTGAAATGGATGTTCCAATAACAACATCCCTACACGTTATATAAAGAGCAATTTCTTGCAACAATTTTCTTTGAGAAAGGTTGGGAAGCTCTGTACCTACTTACATAAACTCCTCATTTACCCAAAGAATCAGGAGCTTGTTAACAAGATATCTCCACTGTTTTTCAAACTTACATCTAAGCTGGAACTGGCAGAAGAGGAAGTGATGCAATTATCACAGAGTAGCCCAATGCACTGGGGTGGTGTGGCCAGGCTAGTGTTCAGCAGAAAAAGCTCTATCTATAAATACGATAGAAATATTTAGATATAGTTTGTCTACTCTTTATTTAAATAAGGGATTCTTTCCAAAACATGTCACTTGGGGCTACTCTCCTGTAGATGGCAGTATTGCCACTTCTAACAAGCAAACTGCAACACAAGAAAATCCTTTGGCTTTATTTAACGCAGCGCTTGAAACTGGGCCAGAAATGTCATTGATTATCAGGCTAATCTAGCTGGTGGAGGTCAGTAGTGACCAAAGTCACCGAATGCTGTTTATATTGTATTGTGTGAAATGACTTGATGATCTTAATTCAATTCCACGTGGACAGTTTCTTCAGTGCACGTAATACACCATCACAGCTGGCATCCTCAGCACATAAGCTGAGGATAGAATTAAGCATTATGAATATGAAACATTAAGCAAGAACTGTCCTGTTTCAGATAAATTTAAAATTCCCACTGAAGTCAATAGGAGTTATGCATATATATCTGAGGGCAAAATTTGACCATAGCTAATTAATCTGCTAACTAATAATTAATTAAAATACAGCTGTCCACAGGCATAGCAATCATTACCCTTCATAACTGGCTAATGGCCTGTGTAAGAACCACTGCTTTCATTTTCCTTTGCTCTCTGACTCTGAGTCAGCACCGCATTTGATTATCTATCCTTCTAGATAACAAGGTGGTGGTCTGTTTTAGTTGCAGTTTGATGGGTATATAGTAAGCATTACTATGTGCTTCAGATTCCTTGGTACTTATTAGTTTTACATCAGTTCTTAATTTTTTTTTTTAAGTAATATTTTCAGTGGAGGAGGAGAAAGGAACATTAGTTCTGAGATATCACTGAACAGTCACATTTCTCTCAGAATGGCTGCCAAGACATATTAGTATAAATTAAATGGAAAAAGCTCATGCAACTTTAAAGTTGCAAGGTTAGTCACTTAAAAGCTAGGGCATACCAAAGTTAAGGTTGCACATGTAACCTTAACTCTGTCCCTGTGGGTGTACACACTGCAATACAGCCTTTATCTAAAGGAGAAATAGAATACTGCCATGTAACTAAATTAACTCTATGGTTTTTGTCTGAGGGAGATCTTTACCTTGGTAAGGGCCAGATCTGCACAAATGTTAGTGTGAAAGCATGCAAGAAACCTTGCCTCTTCCTTTGCATGGCTGCACAAATGCTTAATCACAATAGCCATCACCATAAGCAGGGACTGCTCATCCCTTCAGTGAGCAAATTACCGAAAGATAGGGAGGAAGTGACCATGGCCCTGTCCTGTCTACTGTCCTGTAGGATAGGACTAGCGCCTTGGGAAACTTGTAGGATGCCTCCTCGCACATGATCTATTTTGGTGCTTCCCACCCGTGAGGTGGTGCAGTTCTATACCATCCCCAATGCAGGGCTGTGTGCAAACTGCAGCATCTAGCCTTAACAGCAGCAATTGTGCAGTTAGTACCATTGAACTTAATGGGACTACTCCCAATGGTGACTACTACTCAACTTGATTAACAGGTGCACAGTCAAGCCCTAAAGAAGGTTTGTTCGTGAAAGAGGTGAGACTGGAATCAGGAACTGACTCCCAGGCCTGTGTATATTCCTCAACCCAAAGGAGCATTTTGTCTGGGAATAGAGCAGCAGGAGGGAGAGGGGAGAGAATCTTTTATAAGATCCTGGATTTTCCCCAAAATCTGGACATTTATCTGAACCAGGTGGGAGCAACTCTGAGGCACAGCAGAAAAGTTAGCATTTTACTTGTATACAGTACATTGTTCCTTACATGCACATTTAGATTCCCATTAATTTCAATGGGTGATGGATCAGGCCCTCTGCGAGCTTAGCAGGACATCACCATGCACGCAGAGCATGAAATTTTCAAGCACTCATCGCTTGTACAAATTAGAACTAAATTCTTAAGGAACAAAGCTATGTCTCTCTCCATAATGAGGACTATTCCCCTGCCAAATTGAAATTTAACTCAACCCTCAATCATTTTGCCTGTAGCCATCTTTTAAACCAACAAAACCAGTCACAATATACTTTTTTTAACATGAAAAGGGTTTTGTTTTGTTTTCACACTTCCCTCACTCAAAAGCAGCAGGACTGATTTTGCTCAAACTTTCAACAACAACAAAAAATCACCTTGAAATAGAGACCAAGCACAGAACAACACCCAAAGGTCACATTTTCAAAACATTCTAACTGACTTAAAAGTCTAAGTCCCATTGAAATTCAATGAGTCGTAGGTGTCTACGCGCCAAAGAAACTTAGCTGCTTTAAAAATGTTACCCTAAATTATTTTAATGGGAAAACAATTTCAAAACTGTTCCACCTTGCACTGTGGATGGGACCTAAACAAGTTTTAACCAAATCCCGAGCCATGCTACAGCTCCCTTCCAATACCACACTTCCATAATAGAACACATTAATAGTTGTGTCCAGGTGGATTTGTAGCTCTGTTACTAATGCTGTTCATGAAGTTGCCATGCACAGAAAATTAGATCTGTTGCCCATCTACCTGATTTCTAACACAAAAGCAACAGCATAAATATATATTCTCTCTCTTTGTCTGCTACTATACATGCACCCATATTTTGTAGAATCCCTGTAGCAAGTTGTGAATGATGCACAAGAAGGCAAATCCCTTTCCAGTAGATAGAACATAGACAAAGCTATGCAGGCACTGCTGCACTCCTTTGTATTTCCCTCTGCTTTTAATCAAGGACACTCCACAGTCAGCTCAGAAAAGAGCTTCAAAAATGCCCTGAAGTCTCAAGACTGGAAAAAAAAATAAAGGAAAAAGAAAGCCTCAGAAAAATATTTTAAATATTTAGTGTTTCATAAAATCCTCCTGTCACCCAATTTCTTTCCCCCTCATTCAGACTCCCCAGCCAGCCTGCTAGATCAACTCCTACTTGGGAACAAGGCAGAGCTTCTGGTGCCACCTCAAAGGCTAGCTCTCTCCTGCCCCATCAAAACCACAAACCAAACATAAAAAAGCATGTAAAGCGTTCCTGAATTGTTTTAGAAGGTTTAAAGCTGGGCTCTTTTTCCCCCCACTCAGTGCTAAAAGTATAGTATCGGCTGTTCCAAACTTAGAGATAAACTGACACTCAGGGCCGGCTCCAGGTTTTCTGCCGCCCAGAGACAAAAAAAAAAAAAAAAAGCCGGAGTGCTGCTGCCGAAGCAAAAAACAAACAACAAACAAAACAAAAAACCCGGAAATGCTGCCCTTTG